GGCCTGAGTAAACACTAAAACACAGATTGCTATCTTTGGGGGCCCCGAGGGCCACATAATAAGTGCCAACAATCTGGGCTCTACAATCTTTGTTGTGATTTTTGAGGACCTTTGAGAATGAATAACTCTATATTAAAAGCAGCTCGAGATGTCAGTGATGGCTCGTTCTAAAGCTCTTTTAAGGATATATAAATAGTTTAATGTCCATAGTCTGGGCAAAGGTCTCAAGGCATAATTATGCCCAGAATTCTTCTTTGATAATCACTGTACCCTGAAAAGCTCTGTGAAACATATTGGTGATACTAAAGTCAATTGCATAAAAATGTCAGTATTAAAGCTTTCCGTATAGCTCAAAGGTCAATTAAGAAGTGATTGCACTATTTTTGTTTAATTAAGGGCATCATACCACTTTCAAATTACTTAAACAAAAAAAAAAGGGAGAACATTATTTTAATGAGAAAAGAGAAAGACAGTAAACTTTTAGAAACCGATTTAGCAAATTTCTAAATCTGACAGACACGTGGGCAAAATACTGCAGCTCTTACGAAGGTGTTAAATATACACGTTGATTCAAAAATGAAGCTCACAGCAGCAACTGAAGTCAACATCTCACAATTTTCCAGTTGTATAGTTTACTTATCTCTTCCTGCTTTTTAAAGTCTGAATTATGACAACCATGAAATGGGTAACAAAGCGTGCATGTGGAACACTAAAAAAAAAACTCCTAAAACGTGATTCTTAGTGGCCACATATGGTTTAGGCTTTGTAGATTACAGCAATAAAAATTATCTCACAGCAAGCTCAGGAATTGCCGATGAGAAACACACAGCCATTTGATGTGTTGAATAAAAAGTCTGCTTATCAGTAGTACTTGTCAGAATGTTCATGTAGCTTTCCTCGGAGTATGATGAGTGCCACACCTGGCTTAAAACTTTATAGCTGAACTCTAAGCAGATAAAAAGACACAAATTGTGTGTCTTTTTATTGCTGGTCTGCAATCATGTATACATTACATGCATTTTTTTTTATGCAAGCAGTGTAAGCACTTGAATTTGAGCTGGTACTAGTCTGGAAGGCTGGCGTGACCTGAAGCAAAACAAGCAACCAATCAGTTTATTTCCTGACAAACAACAGGAAGAAAGTAGAGTTACAGAGAGATGAGCTCATCACTGTGCTGCTTCTCCTTTCAATTTTCAGTAACAGGCTGGGGCAGGTCCAAGACGATCTGAGTTAAGAGGAAGTGCGTTTAATGGATTTTGGTTTACTGCTTCTTCTCATAGTGCATGTATAAGAGTTGGCTGAGTAGTTTGAAAACAACGCACTACTTGTGTGGCTACAATCTTAACAGCTGTTAGGCAGTTGAGCAGTATCATTGTCATGGCTAAATTACAATCCTGTCTTGAATTGTATTGTGATTGTAATGTCTTCCTTATATTGTAGACATTACAATACAAACTGTTGGCGCTATATAAATCCTGTATAATAATAATATATACACTTTTACATACAATAACATAACATGGTCCAGGGGGCGTGCAACAATAGTAAAGTGACACCAGAAATCATTTTTAGGTTAATGCTGCAATAAAATGAAATACGTGCCTGCTGAAAAAGATGAGGGGAATTTATCAAAACTAAAGCAGACAGAAACCGCAACAGTTGCCCTTGGCAATCCGCTTCCATCTTTTAATTTGTTTCAAGCTTTCCCTCTTTCAATTACAAAGCATAAATGAACAAACTGAAAATAGAAGCTGATTGGTGACAATGGGAAACTACTCCAGATTTGTTAAATCCCCCCCAATGCACTTTAAAATAGGGGACAGGTTTGCTTGAATGTGTTTGTCTTTGACTGCAAGTGTCATTTTTTTCCTTTTTTTTTTCTAAATGAGGCAACCACTTCCTCCAGCTTCTCAGCAAGTACCTTGGCATTTTGATCCAGCAAAAGAAGAAGAAAAAAAGGACAGAACTGAACTTTCCACCTTTCAAGAGTATTATGCTTACAACAGCAGGTACCAAGTATTACATGTCATTTTTCAGAGAGAAAAAAGGATACCATATGCCCAAACTATTATTGTGTCAGCATAATTTGAGCAAAGCTGTAACATACATGATGGAATTCCATACTAGCAATATGAAGACATTCACATTTTCCCTCTTTTATACAACTGCGCAATGTGTGTAACTTGTACAAAAGCCACGCGGCTGGTTTAATTATCTGTTTAAATACACTTATGTAAATCTTAGTTTGGATTGTAAATAGCTGCATCTGCTCACTGTCAGGGAGAACTGTCCAAGTCAATTTTTATTCATTTCACAAACTAAGCACACTTGTTTTATCCTGCTTATTCCTAGGAGGGGGAAACGGGGTAACGGGAAACCACATCACCAATCAGATTTATGCATGATACATCAAATGCTTGTTTTGCTATTTTTGAATAGATAAAATTACCCTTTTACACAGAGGATACTATCCAGAGCTAAGCTATAAACAAATTTCTTAGCAAGCTGGAAGAAAGTCCTTTTTATCTGGCAGGCATATGTGAAGTGAACGGGCTTCTCAGAAAATATTCAAAAATCCTTCACTTCATAAGTCACCTTTATTTATTTGCTTCATAGAGAGAAAAAAAAGGTTGGTAAAGCCTTTGGACTTACAAGTACACCCAGTATGAAGACTGCCATTAAGCAACCTCGCAATATAAATTATGCAATAAAAGCACCATGAAAAAAACATACACGTATTCTTTGTAGTTAAGAGGTTACCTAAAATGAGGTGTCATTCGTGCACTTTATTACTTGTACAAATGTATAGAGTTATTGATCACTGTTATTACAGTAAAGCTGTCAAAAACCTAATTCAAGCAAATAGTATGCTAAATAAATAGCTATATTCAGTGAAATCTAGGTCAAAAAGACAAGTATGTCCACAGATACAGGCAGATTAATTATATGCAAATCTTGACAGTTTCTGCACCTCTACTGGCCCTGCCACCCTGAGCCTCTCCATTGGACAAAGAGGCCACCCATCACTTTACCTATTCGCTGTCAAGGTGTTTTTTGTACAAATGTTATAATCAATATTTTAAAACCCCAATAGTTATATATTTCCTGAAAGCAGACCCTGTAAAATAAAATGGTGGCAGTTGCAAATTTTTATATTGCATTATATTAATACAACTCTATACAAAACCCAACATTACTGTAAAAAATACACAAGTTTATTTTAGTGCAACAAAATATGCTACCCCAAATTGTGCAGATCTCAGTCCAATCGGTTGTCTGCGGGATGTGCTGGAAAACAAGTCCGAACAGGCCTCAGGGAGAATTTCAACTTGTTGGCAGCGTAGCTGTAAACACCCCATCTTCTACCCAACTTTAGCTGGCTCATAGATCTGGCTGGGGGGTCAGTGAATAGGCATGGTCATATCTTAGCAAAACCAGTTACACTGCATGTAATCATACAGTGTAGTCTGGGGAGAAATAACACCATTTATGTCTTAATTGTACCTGTAAAATCCGTTGGAGTACATCAAAGGACACAGGGAGCTAAATTCTTTAATCACTGGGTTAGGAGTCTATTTTAGACATTGGCAATCACAGATTAAATCATAGACTAAAGTGGGAACAAGCTGTGTCCTGTAATATACTCTAAGAAAATGATGTTACAGGTATGACATATGCAACGTTTGGACCTTCTGAGGCAAGAATGTTCTCTTCCCCAATGCGACTAACAAGTCATGTAGGTATACAAGGATTCATCAAAAAAGGTGTCCTCCAGCAAAAGGTATGTGCTCTAGGCGTTTCTTGCAGGGGAGCACCACAGCCAAACCCTTGAGCCTAATCACCTGTTGCCTGTGAACAGAGAGATGGTTCATCTAAGGGATATGCCAGGTCATCCATGTAGTAGCACAGGGCCGCAGAAAAAAGCTCCAGATATTTAAAAACTTTGAGCTAAGTCAAGATAGGCCAGGGAACCCTAGCCATAGCCTTGTACCATACAGATAAGGTCTGACACCTCGCTATACAAACAACCACATGTTGTATAGCTAGGCATGAAAGGGCAAAAAAAGCCTTAAAGAGGGCTTCTAACCTTTTGACCTTATGTGGTCCTTGAAAACAGGTAGCTCCTCTACAGGGACTATAATGGTCTTGTTCAAACAAGAGGTGGCAGAGTGCACAGCAGAGTGACCAGCCAAAGCGCACGGCAGGTGCATGCACAGTAAAGTACCAGGGAAGGAGTCGGAGCAGGGGCAGTCCATGGTCCCTTGGTCTCATGGGGAAAAAAACTCACTGCTGCCAAATTCAATTTCTTAAAGCTGAACAACCACTAAAAGTGCGACAGAAGTCACACCAGAGCCACAGATTTAATGCTTAGGTTACTGGAGCTACCATCTGGGCACTTGGGGCTTAGAGATGCATTAGGGAAACTTGCTAGAAGAATCTTGCAGACAGAGAAAAAATGGTGCAGATGAGAATACTTCTCTCAGAGAAGAGAAGACATCCATTATCTAAAAACACTAGCAAAAAACAGAGGCAGACTGGGCATGGGAGGGGTTGTTTAGGGCTGTCTTGCAGCTTTGAGTGATTTGTCAGGGTTCAATCACCTGAAGGTAACTGCATAACCCAGTGGCTAAACAATTTAAATCCGTGTCACCTGTGATCAAAAAAGCACATTTAATAAACGGAAAAGTTATATGAAAAGGAAGTGTATTCCTAATGAGTTGCAGAATATTCTAAGGCCTCATTCAGTTCTCTTACCTACAATGGCTTAGTCCCTTATGTACAACATAACAATGATTGCAAATGATCATTAATGTCTCCATTCTAGGGTTGATTTATTAGATGCAAGCTAACAAGCCAGTATGTTCTTGGATTGTGAGAGGAAACACAGGATGAGGAGTAACCAATACATAGAGAGAGCATACAAGCTCCATGAAGGCAGCTTCAACGGTTGGCACTAAAGACTTGCAGTACTAAGTCACTGTGCTGAAATAAAGACTTACCAATAAATTTGTTTTGCATAGACTCTAGCAAAGCTTGATGTGCATCTTCAGCCTGCAGTGCAAGGGAACACTCCCTGGCAAGGATGGTCCTAACAAGGTGCTCACCACAGCCTGCAAATACAAGGAGTAAAGACAAATGATAACTCGCTTCTGTGACATCCTTTTTGCTCTCTCTGTCAACTAACATCAATACATCTGTAGTTCATCTATAATTGCATTAAAGTATTACATTTATTAAAGACTCTGATGCTAAAAAATAAAAAGACATTCCATTAACATTTAAAAGCATGAAGCTGCAGCCAGAGTGAATTACCCAAGAGTCATGGAGTTTGGAAGTGTGCATTAAAGTAGAATTTAATTTTTTGAGCAAAACAAAAATAGTCATAGAATAAAAACTAGACAAGAAAACACAAGGAATAAATCAAAACCATAAACCACGTTTGGAGTGTTACAAGGCATATGAATGAAATATCATGTTATCTAAATAGCATTTTCAAACAAGTTCTTGTCTATGTAGAGGAACGTACTGTAAATCTTTAATTTCCCTCCACCTGCCTGTAATACACAAATTAGGTAATCAATGAAGGAGACATAGGTGGCTGATCAGCTACTCTGAGAAGTTCTGTGTTGCAAACTGTAAGAGTAAAGTGAAATTAAATCTACTGTCTTAATCAAACAGTGCAAGCATCAAAGCACTGTAACCCATATTACACACATCAAAATGTAACGAGCCTAAGAAAGATAGATTTTTTATTGGTTGCTATAGGTACTGCAGTTATTCCAGTTTTATTGAGAAAGCTGGTTAGATGACCAGTGAAATGTCTTCAAGAAAAATACAGCAAGTCCAGTTGCCTTGATTTATTTTTTTCAGATATGTTTCAGCCCTGGTGAGACGCCACAGGTACCCCTGGTGAGATGCCACACGTAGCCCTGGTGAGACGCCACACGTAGCCCTGGCGAATGCCCGCAGACACACCGCCTTACTTCTGAATGACCCTCGTAGCCCTTCTGGAGCCTGCCATACACTCCTGAGAGCAGGTAAGTAAACTTTTATACTACGGCTGCTTATTGTTCTTCTTTTATTGGTGTATGTCACAGTGCTAATCAAATGCAATAGAGAATGGCAACCGATTGGGGTGTTTTTAGTGATTTTATTTGATTATAAATAAAATGTTGATGTTTTTATAAATATGGTATTGTTGATCTTGGTTGTCTTCATATGGTACCTTAAAAGACCCTATTTCTTGAGGTCTTGCTGTTAAGTACAGTTACTGTCACTGATCGTGCCATATTATATCAGAAAATACTTATAAAATAATTTTTCCACATAACATTTACTATGATGCATAAAGGCCCCTTTCACACAGTCAGATCAGGAGGGGATCCATGCACAGATCCCTTGCTGATCGGAATGTATGTCATTGTTGTGATTTTTTTCAGAAAGAAATGAAATTACTATGGGGAATCAAATGTAAACAGACTTGTGCCCATTTACATTCAGATTACTCCCCCAATCCAGTATGATCAAGTCCAGTGAAATAGAACTCTTTATCAGTTTGTTTTTCCGGACTTGGCTGGTAACCAGATGTAAATGGGTGCCCTTTCATTCAGATCCGGCTGCCCATAGACTAACATTGGACTTCTGATCAGGTCCACCTGAAAAACTGATGGACCTGATTGGAAAGGGAAAGGCTAAGTGTAACAGATAACACAACACTCAGGGGTCTATAGGATCTATTTATAAACAATTTGAAGAGATATTCATCCTGCCAAACTCTGAAAGTTAATCTTGCGCATAATGCCCACGAGATTGAGCTTAGGATCATAAAAATAAGAATTTATTTTCTATGATTCCACAGAAGAAACACTCAGAGCTGTCGATGGTAAAGTTCCAAAACCTTACCAGAGAAATGTCCAACAGAGTTATGGTCAGCACAATGACTCACAGAAGGATCCTCCACAGATATGCCCGTTCTAGTGAACCAGATGAAAGTCTTGAGTGTGGAGACGCAACATACAAGGAAGGGCCCCCAAGGTGGCCTGAGGGCACAGCTCTGTCCCCAGACAAAGACTGCAAAGCAGAATCCAGGACCTCTTGTCCCAAAGGGATCATCTGGATGTCTCTCCTGGATCCCAGACATCCTGACACTGAACGAGAGACTGATGATGGATGAGAGGGGGGGATCATGACAGAGAAATAAATCCTAGAAACCCCACAAACTCCAAAAGGACACACCTTCAGTGTATTCATGAGCCAATTCACACTACATGCGTTGCGGTACACACACATTACATGCATCGGTGCAATGTGGTGCCATTCATTCTGAACCACAAGGCACATTGCCAATGGACAAACAGTGTGCTACCAGAAATGCTGCATGCACCATTTTTGGTGTTTCGGCAGCCCATTCATTTTAAGTTACTGCAGTCTTTCCTGATATGTTTTACTACAGAGACCTTTCACCATTTTAGTTGCCTGTCTCTCAACTTGTACTTATCATTATCTTTTTATAAGTGAGGTCTCCAAAACTGGACCCTGTATTACAAAGGAGGTCAAAAGCTGGCCATAAACGTAAAGCTTTCTGGATGGACGAATTTTCCCTGCTGGCTATTGTATCCTGAGAGCTGGCAGCTGGTAGAATACCCAAACAGTGACTGCAGCTGACTGGATTTAGCCACTGTTCAGCCGACAAATAAAATAAAAAGTGAGCAGCCTGGTATAACCCCTCGCAGCATGGCCCTGTTTTGTAACAAAGCTGTGCTGAGACAAAACCATAAAACACAGAGGGGTGAGACCTGTATCCCTCATTTAACTCAAAGAAAATGATTTCACTGTGAATACAAAAGTACCATTTTATTCTTCGTTCATTGAGAAACAAGGAGTCAGAGACAACTAAGATGTTCAAAAGCCGACCAACTGGGGGATGGGCCACACAGCAAACAAAATGCTAACATGCCCAACTATAAACAAACTGTGGGCTGTCTGCAGCTCAAAGAGCTGCCTGAAGGACCTTACAACCAAAGCTGACATTAGCAGAGTCCTGAATGTCCACCTTGTGAAAATGAGAGAAAATGATCTTTACCATAAGCGAAAAAAATTATCATTTGTTTGAGCCTGCCAAGGCAAAAACTTTGAAAACAGACCACTGGATTAAGGAGAGGTTCAAATCGTCAGAAGTGACAAGGCCACTCTAGGCGGCAGCAAGAAGTAACCGAGGTGAAACCACAAAGTGAAAGCACATGTGATAAGAAGCAGCGGTGCAAAGCTGCTACCGCATGCTAAATAGCGGGAAAAGAGCACTGAGAATGTGCATGCGCAACATTCCAGCTAGTGATGCACCACTCTCAGCGTTTTAACCCTTTCCGTGGAGACTAATGGAAAAAGGGGAATGTAATAATTGCGCACAATGATTGTAATAATGAAGTAGCTTCCGATGCCTCATCCAAATGGCCTACTTATTAATGAGTTTTTGTTGACTGGGTCACAACAGAGGCTGTGCCATGGATCTGGACCTGGAAAGTGCTCTGCAGCTAACACAGTGCACATAGGTCTGGAAAGTGACACAGGCAGAGTCCAGTGATTATAGATAGCATTCCAAGCAGACCTCACTATCCTGCAGTCCAGTGACGTCTGGATGTGGCCTTTGAAACTATTGCTCAAGATACGCCAATCCAGATGCATAAAGAGACCAGCTCAAGGAGCATGTACACAAAACCTAACTAAAAACCAATTTTGAAAAAAATAATAGCTAGAAAAAAAACAATGCTGGGAGTTGGGTAATACCTGGCTGGTCACTGTTTCTTTGTTTGCCAGTGTCCATATCCTTCTGTGGGCATCAGTGTAACCCAACTGTCCCTGAAATCCTGTGTCCCCTAATGAGCAAGAAAGAAAAACTTGTTTCTGTAAATGCTTATTAAACTAGATTTTAATTTCCCATATGTATTTTAGCTAAATCTACTGGTCCACCTAACTACACTCTCAACGGATTTCGGATCCGAAGTTTGTATTTCGGATAAAAAAAAAAAAAAACTACCATCAACTCCAATATATTAACAAAGGTGTTTTGCTTTTTAACTTCATCATAACGACTGTTGGTAACGGAATTTCGTATTTCCTGCCTGTATTGTAATGCAAACCTCAGCAGCAGAAGAGAAAACCTCTGATTGGTCTACCAAACGAAATACGAATTCCGTTAACGGATTTCGGATCCCAAGTTCGTATTTCGGATTAAAAAAAAAACTACCATCAACTCCAATATATTAACAAAGGTATTTTGCTTTTTAACTTCATCATAACGAATGTTCGTAACGGAACGAAATTCCGTTAACGGAATTTCGTATTTCCTGCCTGTATTGTAATGCAACCCTCAGCAGCAGCGGATCTGTATTTCGTATTAAAAAAAAAAATCTTGTCATGTTGTTCAACCTCATTAACAGGGGTAATATTAGTTCCCGTTTCAAAGAAATTCGGATCCGAAATTCGTTAACGGAATTTCGTATTTTGGATATAATTTGGAAACTGCAATTCGGATTTCTCATTTTAGGAAAATTCGTAAACGAAACGAATCGCACATATCTAGTACTTGGTAAAGGGAAGTGTGGTTTGCTGCTATTGATAAAAACATTTTGGGCAGTCAATGCTCTGTGCAGTTTTACTTCAATAGCTCTGTCAATATTACAATTAGGCATAAACAAGACTAACAGAGCAATGTATGCGAGAGCACATCCCTCCATGAATAAGCGAGTTGGGTTAAACCCTTACCAATAATATATGTATGTGCTTACAACTCTGTTTGTATTGGTATCTTTTAGGATATTCATTTGAAACCAATATTCTATAGCTGTTCACTTTTCCACCATTTAGTAAATCTGGAAACAATTAAGGTACAAGCTGCCAAATACAGGAGCTGTATGCAGAGATATAATCTGTAGCTTTGAAATACACAATCCATGTGATGACATGCATGGGCAAAGTCCATAGCATCTAAATATGGAACCTATCAATTATATTGAGAACACAAAACCAGATGGCTACACATCATTTACTAGTGTCTCTATTGCCATAACGCCCAGCCTTCCATCTACTGTACAAATTAATCAGGCTGTTTTACAGGGAATTTTTATTTTTTTTAAATCTATTATTGATTGCATACAACTGCTATTAAAGCCATGATACTCGATACATTATTCACAGCAGAAGCACTGAAGTCCACATGTCCTCCTCTCCATAGCCTCCAAGCCTTCTGATCTCTTATGTAAACACAGAGCAGGTGCTCTGAGAGGGGGAAGCAAGGAAGCAGAGATGCTGAGAAAATGACTTTAGTCCTTCTGCAGTCAAATTTGATGACTTGCTCCACAGTGCATGCAGCTACAGGGATCAGGACTTTTTTTGCCTCATTTTGGTCACATTTACAAGTAACTTTAAGAATATATAAAAATGGAAACAACCATAGTCTGTCCACTTTTTTTAGTTTCCTTTTTTAATATCACCATAGGGTTACTTTGAATCCAGCCTTAGTGTTGCGCTTTAAATGTAATACTTTTGGACAGAGTATTTCCCTAACTTTGGAGATATCTTTAACTTCCTGTTGTGCCTTGAGGTGGGAATTAAAGGAATATATTCTCAATGGAAGACAGGCAGCACAAAACAAAAAACTAAAACTAAAAGTTTTTTTTTACCATTCCTTACTCTAATCAAAACTAACAAAAAAAATGACTTTAGGTATACCTTTTATTCTCAGTGGTATGATTCCATATATGTAAATGACCTACATGCTTAGGTATGAAAGTTGACTTATACAAAAACGTAGGCACCTATAGTGAAATTACATGTTTTATTAATTTGATATGCAAATAAAAGTTATCACAACTTCTGCAATGAAGGGCCTCAACCGTCTTCTTTTAGGCTTTTTAACAATTACTTATTTCTTAAAGATGGGGTTTTTAGTCCCATAACAAAGCTGAAAGACCAGGGTATTCCTTTTTGTCTGGAAAATCGCTGGACCTTTCTGGCATGGGTGACCCTATTGATAGCTATGCTGCAACCTGCACAGCTTACACCTGACCATGAAAGCCCTACCACTCCACCAACTTAGAAGGATCTTTAGTGGTATATGCAGAGAAAATATTATGCTTTGCTTTTTTTCCAACTCGCTAAATTAAGCATTTGCAAAAAAAAAATATGTCATGTGCAAATGTTGGGCACCATGTCAGTTAGAACCTACTTTACAGAAACCACAGCCTGCATACACTTCTCACTCAGAAACATTCTAGCTCTTTTGGAATGCAAAGCATGTCTGATATCATCCTACAGATTCTTAGTAATTGATAATTTCAGAAAATCAAATAAACATCAGTTAGTCTATCCACACTGGTAGTTTTGTTCTAGGTACATGCCAGTATTTTAAAATTACTGACCAGCTTGCTTTAGCTTTCAGGGACACTGGCACCAAGATCTTTGCCCCTCAGCTTCAGAAAGACTGGCAATTCCAGCAAGGATATACAAGGAGATACTTCAATGCACTGATGTCTACTCAAAACAGAAATAATAGCTGAATTATAATGATTTTCTATCTCACATAGATATATGTTGGTGTGTGATATATATATATATATATACACATACACACACACACACACATATACACTGTACATATTAGAGGCGCACCTAAATAGAATTTTCTGACCAAAACTTAAAAAAAACAGAAAACCAAAACTGAAAAATATTTTTTTTTCTAATCTTGTTGCTTTAAAAAACAAAAAGCCCCCTCCTCTGGGAAATCTCAGGGGTCTAAACAGACCCCCGATATTTCCATTTTAAAATACAAAAAGAGATTGAGGACACAGAGCCCTAAATCTCTTATTCTGCAGCCCCTATTATGAATGGACATTCTGTCCATTCATCCTGTCCATTTATAACCTGTGGAGATAGTATATTTACCATGTACACAATCATGAATGGACAGGAAGTGATGTAGAGCACTTCCTGTTCATTCATAATAAGAGTAATATGGAAATTGCTGCTAACAAGGAAAGACACCAAGAAAAAAAACTGGTGTTCCACAGCAGAGCAGATCGCACTACTAAGGCAAGAGTGCTATTCTAAAATAATAATGTATCTCAACAATAATTGGGGAGGACAACCAAGCAACTTGTGTAAGGAGACACATGAGAGAAAACTTATACCAACAGCTAAAATTGCCAACAAACAAGACTTTTGTAAGGTAAAGACAGTAGCCTAGGATATAGAACGCTTAACCTCAAGGAAAGGAACAGACGAAAAATTTCCTGACCAAAATACGAGTAAATGACTGGGTGTTAAAGTAGTATTAAGGTCTAGGCGTTTTTTTTTACCATAATGCATTTTCTGCATTAGGGTTAAAACGGCCCAGCCCCCCCCTAACCTGTTTTAGCTGCGCTCATCCCCGCCGCCAGTCGGAATCGATCCTTCGTCCCCCGAACTTCTGGGTTGCGGGGGGAGGACACTGATGGCAGAGGAGCCATAGGCTCCTTCTGCCATCAATCAAAGATGCCTCCACTAGAACGATGGTGGCACCCGTGCAGGGGGTGGGGGGAAAAGCGCTTCGGGGAGCCACTAGAAAACGAGGAATTAGAAACTTTTGAAGAAAAAGAGAAACGGCCCCCAGCAAAGGAGGGTCTCTATAAAAGGAGAAATTAAAAAAAAAAAATAGGCTTTAATATCACTTTAACATAGGCTGTTATATTATGACGCATAATATAACAACCCTCTCAGTAGTTATCTAAGGGGAGAGAGGGAGGAAAGCTGTGAAACAAAAAGGGTAGAGTTCCAAGTCTGTCAATCAGACTGTAAACCATAGTTTGTATATCCAAATCAGATTTGCTGATCTGAAGACTGTAAGGACTCTGAATTTAAATCAGAGATAATCACGGATAATTATAGGCCCTTCTAGATCCTTTGGAGATAAGGGATCGGTGGGGTCAGAACTATGTGCTGTAGCAAATTACATTGGAAAGCATGTGGAATGTCTGTGAGCAGATTGTGAATAATTGTGAAAAGACCAACACAAATCAGAAGTCGATAAATGAGGTCTAAGGCTCAGCCAGTGGAGCTACAGAAGCTGTTGATGAGGATGACCTTACAGAAATAAGAATCAGGATTCAAGGCATTGGTTCACTTAAGGGACCCCGGAGAAATGCTTCCAAAAAAATGAAGTGGAGTATGGAACGAGGTCAAGCGTTGTACCTGACTGTTTTACCAGACATATTGCATTCAATAGTGGTACCCAACAAATTTAAAGTGGGACAAAGCCCTGCATAATCATAAACCAAAGCAGTAAAAGCTGGTAAAAATCATAGGCAGCCGAAATTGAACAAATCACTGTAGGTGGGCAGTAGGAAAATACTGGACACCGAATGATCCACAATGCAATTCAAACAGCGTTAACAGGAGACAATGCTTCCTTCTAATCTAAAAGGAAAGGAACAAGGAGTGTGTGCACATACAACTATCGGATGACATGAGCAGGCTAAATCGTTACCTTAAAATTTTCCAAAGAAAAGTGAGGTTTACAACAGTTAATCTTGCGGCGCTGTTCACTTTGTTTCAGCCTGTCCGGATTTAACTGTAATAAGTAGTGATGCACCAATAACGTTTTTTGAGTATCAAGTGCCGATATTTTTTTTTTTTGGTACCCGCCGATACCGAATACTGATACTGAAAGTCCGATTTAGAAAACCTGATTAGCCAGGAAACCGGGTAATGAATCACCCGGCTTCCTATTTTGGCCGGGAAGCCGGCTCCATGCTCCCTCGTCACTCAGTGACGAGGAACCATGAAGCCAGCGTCCAGGCCTATCAGGAAGCCAGGCGAGTCATTACTCGCCCCCCGGCTTCCTGACTGGTCGGAAAGCCAGCTTCATGCTACCTGCTGACGAGGGAGCATGGAGCCAGCTTTCCGGCCAATCAGGAGGCCGGGGGGCGTGTGATGGTTCACCACCCGGCTTCCTGAGACTGGAAGTTCCGGTATCAGGGAAAGTATTGGAAGCATCTCGGTATCGGTGCATCCCTAGTAATAAGAGATGCTGGGTTATACCATATCAATGCAGAGATTTACAGGGAGAGAATCTACAGAGACTGAGCCATAACAAAGGTTATGCCTCGGCTTTGAAACAGGAAAGTAGTCTGTGGCTAACTGACAGTACACAAGTGTCTGGAAATTGCCACAATATAGAGCCCAATGCCCAAAGGTCACATAATAGGCTCTTTTCACAGCATACAGAGGTTGACATTCACTGGAAGACATCAGAGACCATGCTACATCAGAGGCTGTACCACTGCTCTGAAACTGGAGGGTGTTCTGCAGCTGCACACAAGTCTACATAATGCCACAATGCAGAGCTCAGTGCTCAAATGCCACATACTAGGCCTGCTAACAGTGAATGAGTCTTTAGAAATTGGGACACACCCGTATCTGAACACATTTCAGGCAAGCCCCGCAATTGACAGTCCAGCTGGGCCTGGGTACAACATCCAAGGCATTGCTGAGGAAACACCAATCCATATATCCGCTGTGTAGAAACCAGCTCAGTCAGTGCCATAAACTTCTTGATTGAAGAGAAAAAACACCACAAAGTACCGTGAATGTTGATAGCAGAGAGAGAGAAAGAGAGAGAAGAAAAAAAGTAAACATATAGATAAGTAGATGAACAGAGCTGAGGGAAAAGGGACCCAACTTCCTAAGACACTTAAAACATTTTTAAAAAAATGAGGCATGATAGTTGCAAGCAGGGTTTTTTGTGGGGCAGGCTTAATGGTTGTTTTGTTTTCTAGTGTCCAAAACTCGAAGGCAGAAGTTTACTCTATATGTCCACCAATTACTACATTCCTGTGTCCCTCAATGGATGATATTCATTGATACCAAGTTCGGTGAGTGCCTGCATTCAAGTGTGTGTGCATATATTCTAATACCTTAGGCTCAGAACTTTTCAGCTGCCCCTCGTGTATGGAGATATATATATAGATATCTATCTATATATATATAGCAGTAAAACCCACAAATCATCTATGATTGTGTTACAAAAAAGATAAAAGCAGCTAAGCTATTTGATTACTGTTACATTGCAATTTAATAATTAAAGTAGACTGATCTTCAGCTGTGTCTTGAAGTCACTGGCCTATTTACATACAGCCTCTCATAGCATGGCCTCCTTTGCTTATTTCTTTAGAAATGGTAAAGCCACATTACAAGAACTGTGAGGCATAATATTCCAACCGCTGGTATATTAATGGAGTCTAGCCGAACCACAACAGAAGGTTGAAAAGGCAGTGTGCTATGAGGCACAACCCACATATTAATTTGGGAGCCAACAACAGAAAAAAAAATGACTAGCACAATGGAAGATGGGCACGCCTGACGCAGGAAAGAAATCACTGCCGCCCTCAATAGATGTGGATTAGCTCCACTGATGATAGTTCTGCAGTGGCCTAACAGAAGATGATTCTTGTGGAGTAGGGCCTAAAGCAGCATGTCAGAGAGAAATTATCGTAGTTCTCCTCTTCTTTTGAAGGACTCTGCTTTTAACTCAGGAAATTAGAAACAGGAGTGCCAGAGGGCATACATATCCAAGGCTGTACACTGGAACACACACGTTTTCAATTACAGAACATGAAAGAAACTTCTGATGAACGAAAGAAATGAAATCCAGTCTCTTTCTTATTTCTGGGAGCCATATGCCGAAGACTTCGGAAATCTGACATCAGCTCCAAGCTGTTTCTTACTTACTCCTGAGTCAGGTTATGCTAGCAGAACTTGGCCCTGGATTCCTCTGTATAGATTTAGGCTTCGATGAAGATCTTAGATACTAAAAGGAGGATTACTGCTTAGTCAGCAGCTTTGCAGTGAAGTTGTTGAGCTAAAGCGTCGTGGCAAAGAAGGCTTACTGGTAGCAGCAATCATAGAATAAGGACAGGTTTACCCAGCTCATCCAAGTTACTCGGGAATGGAAAGGAATTAAATATACCTACTTCCAAACAATGTGCAATAAACCACCCCATTTAGCCCTCAACAGTATGTATTGCACACCACTGATGTGCTCTTCCTGAAACTGGACTGCTGCAGCCTTCCCTGAGGTGTGGTTTTATATCTCTTGCAATGCTTCGTGAACCTTGCTGGAGACTGGTGCACAGTAATATTCCATAAAGATAAATGTGGCCATCTTCTGTGACTGTAGGGCACACTGTATATCTCTGTAGAATATTATTGGGCACCCATGCTCAGCAGGAAACACAGAAGTTGTACTGTAAAATAAACCTGTCAGAGTAAGGGGTTGAATTGACAAACACATTGAAGGGAATTTATCAAAACTGGAGCAGACAAAATCTAGAGCAGCTGTGCATGGGAACCAATCAGCATCCACCTTTCATTTTCAAATCTTAACTGAACAAACTGAAGAGGAGGAGCTGATTGTTTGCCATGGGCAACTGCTCCAGATTTTGTCTGCTCCAGTTTTGATAAATTCCCCCTCCTTGTGCTTTTAGGTGCACTCTGCTTGCATTTGAGATTAGTTTTGGATAATCAAAGATCATTCAGAGCCCATTCACATGTGCATTTTACCTCCTAAGTTGTATCAACTTGCCCCAAGCTGCTTTTACATTGCCATTTACATTTATTTGAAGAGAATCGGTTCTGATTCCAACAAAAGCCTGTTATTACAGAAATTGCAATAACTGACCTCCTTCTGAATACATGAGTTATGTTATGCTAGCACTACCCTAGCTTTCACTATCTGGGTAACTGACCTAGAACAAGTGTAAAGATCAGGAAGGTATAAAGAAAAGTCAGAATTTCTTATTAGCATACTTGTTTAGGGTCAGTAATTTGAAATAAAGAAAAAAGAGCCCAAATGGCATTCGGGCAACTAGATTTTCATATCTTTGGCTCAATAATAGCAAACTTCATATCTCTCTCGTGACAGGTTTCTATTAAAGCAGAATTTTTACAATATACATTTGTTATTGTATAGCAGGTCACCTGAATCAATTATGGATATCAAATATGGGCAGCACTGTGGTTTAGGTTGTAAAAATTACCTTGTCCCACCTTTTTTTTCTGTTCAGTTTTCATCTGTTCTGTTCAGAACACATCTGCAAGGAGTTTAAATACTCACCCTGTGTTTCCTTCCACAGACCAAAAACTTACTGGTTTACAGATCTTAAAGCCACACAAAACCCTCAGCTTTTTTCTCCCTATACACATCTACACAATGAACATTCTCCAAAGCCACATTTATTTATGTTTTAAAATAAAGTCTTTTTAATTTAATCCTTTTAGAAAGTCTGCTGTGCTCACTCCTGTTGCTCTTCTCTCCCCTCACACTTCCTGTCCCTTAATAAGAGCCATGCACAATGTTTCAGGTCACGTGCACATCTTTCTTTGCCTACAACTCCCATGAGGCAGAGAGGAATCGTCTCTCACTGCTCACAGCTGCCTCCTCCCTCCTCCCCACTGACTTATCTGCTGCCTGTACTGTACACTACTACTCTGAATTTTTATTTCAGTGGTGGTAAAAGTAGGAGCTTTATCCATCAGACTCAGAGAAAAAAGTCTGAGCCTGCTGACATGCTGTCGTCAGAAAAATCATGACAAGACATTCAGCTCACCCCAGTGATCACAGCTCAGTGCAGAGTCTGGAGGGGAGGAGGATTTGTGAGCGGATATTTGGAGGGTTCTGAAGAGGAGACGTGAGAGAGCTTCAAAGTTCTCATGTCTGACTGTAGTCTTTCACATTAACCAGCACAGAGGGTGGCTACTTCTTAGCATACATAGGGACCATGGCGAAGAAAAGTAGCCACCCTCTGGCAGGAAGTTGTGGCTGCAGAAATATAAAACAGATTTTGGAGCATTTAGAGTTGAGCAATAACAAAATAAGGTAGCCATTGATTATTTATATAATAAAAGTTATTTTATTATTAAATGTTTGAGTTTAGTGTCCTTTAACTGTAGTAGGAGTATCAAGCATACAGCTCCATCATAAGCAAGGAGTTAAATGAAAGGTAAAGCAATGTAGAATATGTCCTAAAACATGCAGTATACCATAACAAGGATAATAAATAAACATAAAAAAAAAAAAGACATTGTGATCATCCTCACTCTGTCACGTTAGGAGGAGGAAGATGTTCACGCTAAGTTCTGGCACCATCCTACACAGGGTTTGGACTCCTGGCTCAGGGAGAGGGAGGGGGG